AATTTATTTCATAACTCAGAAGAATTAGGTAGACAAAAGTGAGTTACTGTTACCTCATCAGAGCTAAACAACAGCAGAGGCAGAAGTACCGGCAGTTGATTAAAGGCATTGTCCTGACCACCGATACCACCATGGCAAAGTACGGGCTGCCTTATGGAACCGGGTCAGAGGACATTGATTTCTCCATTCAACTCCGAGGCACCACTTTGTAAATGACACAATCATTTTGGGGTACAAGAGGTGCTTTAAATGTGGTAACATTATATCATTTCAGCTATAATGATCATAATTACTTATTTCTTTTAATCACAACCCACTTAACCACTTTAGTACAGAGGACTAGTTCAAGGAGTTTAATTTTCATTCAACATCTAATCTTTGTGTTTACTGAAACCCTTCACGGGCTTTGTTTACTGTCTGCTTGCTGGCCTGGACGTTTGATCTTGCAAGACTAGATCAGACAGGGTCAGATAAAATACTGATTACTAGAATAAACCAGGCTTGGGGAAGTAACACTGATTTTAAAAATCCTCATTTCTCCCAGCTTTTTAATATTTTGCTAAATAAGCTCAAATAAACAAATAAAATTAAGACAACTAGCAATCAGGGAGTTCTTGACCAATGATTGAGAAAAGAAGGTGATGGGGATAATTCTGCTCTCTGGCCAAACTATGGGGTTTAGTTAGGTCCATTCTTTCTAGTGGTATTATTTTATTACACAAATAATTTCATAATACCCACTAGTATTTATGTGTACTTTCAATGACCCTTTAATTCTTGAGACATATTAAATATTTGCGATTGACCTGACCAAGACAACAGTTCGTTTTGCCAGATGAAAAACACGTTAGATATAAAATGATTTTCTTTTAACTTACTAATTTTTAATTAAAAAATATTTAAAATAATGAGCCCTTCTTTGTTAAGGCACTATCATATTCTTACAAAATCTGCAAAAGTAGATTGTCATTAGGAGTGTAATTCCTAACGGTGTGGCACACATAATTCCCCTTACTTTCATAACAATGGTGGGGAAAGTTGCTGCTTAAAAATAATTAATGCAAAAGAAGAACTAGGTTAAAGTAACTTTTATTAAAATGGATAGAACTTATGAAAGAAAAGTGGACCGAGTAAATCCTACATAATCCCAAGAATTCTTTAAAATAGTGTTGTAATAGCATGAACATTTTTAAGACCTTGTGGATTATTTTTGTATCCAACACTGAAACTGCTACACATGAAACAGCTGTTAATATTGTTGGATTGTTTTGTTTTGTATTGTTTTTTGCTTTTACGCAGAATGTACATTTTTTTTTTATCCTTTGGAGCTTATGAGCTCTACATTGTAAAATGTAGGCCAGAAGCAATTATATCGTGAGATGAACAGCAATAAAAAAAACATGTTGTCTAAACCAATTTACTACCTCATCCACCCACTTCATTTTCTTCAATATCAAAAACTCATAGGATGCAGGTTCATGGTTCTGGACCTTAAAAACAGAGTATACAAATTCTGTCTCCCCATCTCCCCTGAATTAACACTAATGTTAACTCAAATATGTCTGTGTCAACCATGATTGTCTTTGAAATTAAAGAAAAAAGATAAACAGAATGTGCTTTGCTGTGATCTGGGGAAAATAAAGTTAACATGCTATGCCAAACCAACCTAGGACTTTTTAAAGAATAAGTGTAAATAGTTTAGCTTTAAGAACAACAAATTCAAAAAATGCACATTAAAATGTTTACTTCAAAATTTAGACAATTCCATTTGTATATAGTTTTTACATCTGTTTTTAATGATATCAAATTATTGATTGTTCATTTTTCTCATATTTATTTAAGCATTAACTATAGAATTTGCAATGTGATCTTTTTTTTTAATCCTCCAGTAGACTTTTATTTTTGCCAGGTTTTAGTCATATTTACTTTGATCTTTCAGAGTATATAATTATTTTACTGTTTATTTATTTCTATGAGAAAAGAAAAAAATTTTGACCTAGAGATCTATATGTGGCAATTTGTAACAGAATCACATAGCTTATGTTTAGGAAATCATGGTTTTGATTAAGAAGCAACCATTTAGTTCCCACTGTTTTATTAAAACAGACATTAGCAGATAATAGGAAACATATTTAACAATGCAGCCTGCACTTAGTTTGGAACATCAGTAAGTTAGTTTGAGATTTTCTTCTCTACTGGCTATCAGCCATGGTACATGTAAATAGGTAACTTTGGGCTAAAAGGGAGGCAGGAGTGGCCGGGTGGGGGTAGGAAAACCAGAAGGAGGGACACAGAACTCTGGCTCCTGAGTGTTCAGGAAGAGCCCTAAGGTTGAATTCTGGTTTTGCCACTACTAATTTCCTTCCTTTTCTTCTCATTTTGACAATGTATGGACACAAACAAATTTTACAAACAGAATCATTACTTTCTCATGAGAAATGGATTCTACTAGATAGGAACTCTCACAGCAACATCTATTCATAGCATAAAGCTCCCATCGAGTGAAACGTGCCTGTATGGGTCCAACACTTCCTTTTCTCTAGGGGTCGAAAGTTAATAAAACACTCTTCTCTGGGTGTTTATTTTCTGTACACCATTATACCTGTCATGAATTCTTTGTTTTTCCTCCCACTCCCTTGGTTGATGAATCAACACCACTTGAACTGTTTTACGGCAGCTTGTGTTTACTTCACACATACCTTAACCTTCCCTTTTCTCTTCCCACTGACACACACATGCATACACACACTTTTCAACAGGAACGACTAGCTCCATCTCTTTGAATAGCATGTGTACACAGTGTCTGGCAGCCTCTTCAGGTGTGTGGATCCTTGACCTCCTGTTGAAATCAAGGTCTTAGTCTGCTTTTACGGCACTTAAAAATTTAACTGTGCATTTACTATCCTGAGGGAAAAAAAGAACCTGAAGAGTTGGATTTCTGAGAAAGAAAGGAGAAAAGTAGAAGCCATGAGTGTTAATGTGTGTGTGAATGTGCACACACACACATTCTGTAGTGGCAATTCAGAAAACACTAGAGTGAAGGGTTTCCAGTCTTTCTAAATCTGGAATTATACTCCAGACTATTAAAAGAGGACACTCTCTTCCTTTCTCTTAAACAGCTAGTAAATGGGATTTAACAAATGACCTTGAAGCTGTGTGATTCTTTTGATTTTTAGCCAAAGAGGGTATGTTCAAGCACGTTAACAATCTTATTTTAAAAGAAAAACTTGGAGACAACACTTAGGGAAAAGAAATCCTTCTGAACCACACAATCATGTCTTATAATGTGAAAGCATTATACATTGGATCCTGTACAAGAGTTAATATTAATAATAATCTCAAGCACCCAACCAGAACCTAAAGTGGCTTAAGAATTTTAGAATATGTAGAAAAGAAACAGATCTTAACTAAATATTTAGTAAATTTAGTTTCTCCTGGGTAATTCAACATCATGACTTTCCTTATAAATTTTATATCTAGCATAAAATGCTCTCATCCCTTTGAAATCAGAAGTGTGCCACCAGTGCATATGAAGCTCATTTTCCTCAAAAGGTAACCTTGTAAACAAGTTCCCAAATACTCTACAGCCAACAAGCATTACTTCCACACTCTGTCTCCCGAGAGGAAACCTGCAGGTTGTAAAACAAATAAATCCATCCTTTACTTTTACCTACCCACCATAAATGTCATTTGCTCCTCAGATGGGGGCAGTGAATTGACAGCAAGGCTATGAGAACCTATAATAAAACATGATGGATGATACCATAATCGTGCAAAATTTGGACTGGAAAACCCTCAAACATCAACCTATTATGTTACCGAAAATTCCCCAAATCACCTTGGAGGCTGATCACATTTGAATTAAACAGCATTTGAATTGGGGTGAGAACAACGGAACTTTTCCAACATTGACGTATTTGTAAAGGCAAAATATCACAAAAATATTTAAAGGACTGAATGGTCTAAATAGCATGACATTTATTATGTAAGAGAATTGCATATTCAGGACCAGACGTAATTCCATATACAGGGTCTGGCAGAAGTAAAGCCTGCTTGAGTGTGGTTTGTCGGGTAATAACATGGGTATAATAATTTATAGTTTTGATTTGAACATTTTACCTAAAAGGTCACATGGTGTACTTGAATGTGATAGTGTTATATTACAGCAGTACATGCTTATGATTTTGTAATATAAGATTTTGTAATAAAAAAGGGGCATTATCTGAGCCAGACCATGTATAAGACATTACTATTAGTACAACTACTGCTATTAATTATTGTTATAGTATGATAGCTATTAATTAAGAGATTGCTTTGTGCTGATATTAACTTACTTAGTCCTCACAGCTAGCCAGAGACTTTAGATGCTTTTATTTTTTTTACTTTTCAGATGAGAAGACTGAGTCTTGGTAGAATTAAATAATTTGTTCAAACTCGCACAGCTATCAAATGGAAGACAAAGATTTGAACACAACTCTGCCTGAGGGCAGAGTCCCTTTGCTTTAACCACTGCTCTAGAATTGTCTCCAAATCAACATAACATCAAAACTCCATTTCTGACCTAAGATTTCCTGATACCACAGCAGTCCTTCTGATATGTAATTTGTACTTACACTGTAAGTGTTGATTTAACCTAGAATGACTGCTTTTAAGTTCCATTAATATATTAGTAGAAATAATTTATCAATTAGCTTTTTAAATAAACAGGCTTAGGTGAAATAAACCATTTCAAAATACTTCGAAAGATCTCAACCTTCATAAGCTTGTCTTGTGAAAACATAAACTTCATATATTATGCTAAGAATTTAAGTTTTAGTTCTAATGCCATCTTAATTTTAAGGAAGCCCATTTGGATCTCTTGAGGGAAATATTAAGAATCTTTATAAAAATTATATAAAATTTTATTTAAAAATTATACCTAAAGTTAGCATAAATTCCAGAGCATCAGCAACTCATTGGCCTAAGAAATGGAAAATAGGCTTTAAAAATAAAAAGTTTACCTTTAATCTTCTTGTACTTCTTATACCATCGCCCAAACTCCTGGCACTTGGTTGCTGACACGTTGGCATAGTATGTGCTATTTACAATGGATGAAATCATACTCTGTGAAGAAAAAATGGTATATTTCATAAATATGAGTACTGCTTTTTAGGGACAGGAAAGGACATACTATAACCCACATCAATCTCCTTTGCCTTCTAAATGTGAAGAAGTCACCTTCCTGCAAACTAAACTATTAAACATTAAATATGATTATCTACGTCTACTGTCCCTTAAATGTATACTTATATGATGATAGTGCTTTCTCTAAAAAAACCAACCCAGGAACAATGTCAACGATGGAGGAGGCAGGACACACACATTAGACATCCAGGAGAGTACAGCTGTGATTTGGGAACCAGAGCGAAAGGTGAGATCAGAAGCTCCAGCACCCGTCATCCAAAGAATGCCTTTCAGATGTGTCTGTTCCGTTTCCAACTGCAACAAGCTTAGAGAGCCAAGAATCAGAGAACATCCGTGCTACACACTGCAGAACAACATTTAGGGAAATCAGTTAAATTAATATAATTTATAGAAACGTGTGATTAGCACTTGTGTGAAAATGCACCAAATGAAAAAATTAACAGTGCTATTTTAGAGCAGGAGGAACTAAACATAACACTTGTACTGCGTTTCAACCAAAAATGAATCAAAACTAAAACTTTCTGAGTGCTTCAGTACTTGATTCCTTCTTGCTCTTCATCCTGTTCTTCCTCCTCAGCTACAGCCCTCAACTGATTTTTTTGTAATTTTGGTAAAAAGGAAAGAGAAAGGGAGCATAACCTGATTTACAACTGAAAAATTAAAATTATAATCACACACCTTGAATTAAATTTTCTACAGAGATATGTTTTTCAGTCAATATGGCATGTTTGGACCAACATTTGTGGCAGATGTTAACTTAAACCTGAATGACTATGATAGTACATGTGCATGTTTTGTAAATAAATTTTATTGCTGCAAATTCTGTCTGAAAACAAATGGACATAAACAATTCAAGAGATCCAAGTGACCTACATTAGGTTTTACATCCTGCCTTGAAATTGCATCTTTCTTTAAAAAAGGTACCCTAGATATGGAGCAGTTGAGCAAAATCTCAGAACTTCTAATGGCATCTCTACAAAATAGCTGAGATTAAAAGGATAACGAGAAATCGAGATAATTGCAAATTATTTACTAGGAGGTTCAAATGCCAGCGAACAGCCCTGCATAGCCACCCATTTGAAACAATTCCCTCTGTGAGCCCAGTCTCCCTCTTTTTTAATCAGTATGCAGTGCTGGTGGGGGAGGGGGCTCCTAATTCAATTCACAGAAACCTCTTCGGCCCTTTCTACAGAGCAGATGGCTATCCTTGCCCAGTTACTGATCTCTAAATGACAATCCTGTTCTCTAAGGGGAGATAATAAGGAGAACTCTTAATCTAAGGATCTGAGGACGGCCCTAGGAACGCAAAGAGCCCGTATCACCTGAGGATATCACAGAACTTTGGGAGCCTTGCCTGCTGCACTGGAGGATCAATGGGATTCTAATCTTCCCGAGGCAGGGTTCTGCTTTGTATATTATTAACAAAGGAGTAAAGAAGTCTCCCGACAAGCCAGGCTAGTTCCCTCTCTGGCTGAGCTTTTCTCTCTCTGCCCTCCTCTGTGAGACCCTTGAAGACAGTGACTGAGATCTGTTTCAATTTTTTTTCTCCTTCATGTCTAACACAGTTCTGATGTGGGATATCTGAGTCACTGAAATATAACAGATGAAAAGGGACAGAGATGAAATTTTAAAATGCCAAACTGAAATGTCATAATAATGAAAAATTTAACATGAAAGCAGCCTAGTAATAGATGCACCAGCCACACTGGTGTTTGTGAATAATGGCAAATGTCCTTGTCTCCTCTCCGTGTTTGTATGAATGTTATCCTCTGGAAAGGCATAGGCTATATAGCCATGGCAGGAGTCAGCGCTAAACCTTCTATTGCAAAGTGATTTAACATCCAGACGAAAAGGTAAGATCAGAAGCTCCAGCATTCGTCATCCAAATAATGCCTTTCAGATGTGTCTGTTCCATTTCCAACTGCAGACGAGAAAGTCTAAAATGCAAAGTATCTCAAGCACTGCCTGGAGCTGTACCTCAACTCTTCCTGGCCCTTAAGGCCAGGCCACAAGCCATATTACTCTGGCCTCTGATAATACACTTTTCCCTCACTCCCTGGCCTTCCTACTTGGTCACTGTTCCAGATGCATCTTCACTGACACTGCACAAGGCCATTGTCAATCTTATGTCAAGAAAATGAATATCTGAGCTTCCATGGGCTCTATTACCAGGTCCTATACTAGAGTATACTAGAGTCACATTTGGACCCATTTAAAAAGGAGTTGGCTACCCAGAGACTCAATCAGGTTTATTTTTTTCCCCAGACCATTATAAATTAGTTTCTATCTTTACTGATCCCAGAACAAAAATAAATAGGGTTAAGCTATGAATTGAGCCAAGGAACTATGAATAGTAACTAGAGAGAGCTTCCTAGATAATTAGACTAGTTGCTAAAAAGATCTCTTCGAATTTGTGGCAAATTTTATTCCTATCAATTCTCTGTAGGTCTTTACACATAGCTGACACTCAAAAAATTTTACTGATATATATTTTTATAATTTAACATGAGAGAGTTTTGAAAACAGAAGAGATACATCTTGGGAATATTTTAGATGAAAAGTCAGGTTATGACTTATTAGTTTAGTTTCAAACATCAACTTTCCCTAATCCTTAATTAAACTATTACATTCTCCTAGCCCGAATCTGAATTACTAGGCTTCACTAGAATATTCTGGACACATACTGCAAGATCATCTTAATGTTAATGCAGATTTATTTTTTAAAAATCAAAACTTAATTCATTATAAACAAAACTGAAAGAGGCAAACACAGACCTAGTACATGCTGACCCTTACTCTACAAGGAATCATGTTCACCAGAGGCCCTGGGTGCAGAGAATCTGTATTTACCACATGGCACCCACTCTACAACGTTTTTCAATACTTTAATGTCACTGAAAATCGGGATGCATCTTACAACCAACAGCATGTTAGCACTGATGAGATACAGTTGCTGTAAAATGGGATGAGTAATGATTAAACTCTCTCCCACCTACTACTCTGCCAAAAAAGATCTAATTTCCATTTACTGCTTTATAAAATATGTATATAATTTTGTAGTTTATGTTGCTCTTTTATGTTTTCCAATCATTCTAGAGCAACCACACAACTGGACTTTTAGGATCCCACACCTTTTTGATAAATAAATGGGATCTTTTTCAATCCAGAATGCAACCAAATCCTGCATATCCACGTTCATATAAAGCAAAGCTGATACAAATAACCCAAAAGATACGTGTATTATTGTTTTTAATACTTAAACAGAGGGATTGTTTTGCAGAGGGTTCTAGTAAAGTGACATTGCATTTACTGAGCTCATTCCATTCTGTGTGGTGACAGGCTCTGAGAAAGAATGGGAAGCACACACACACAATGGGAAAGGAAGGCAGCCTCCTGAAGACATTTAGTCACAGCCACGGGGACAGGGATACAGACACAGTTCTTTTATGAAAAAATATTACACATCAAAATAAATAGGAATGCCTAACATGTCTTCCCAAGTACAGAATTCTTCTTAGAAGTTTCAGACTTCCTTGTAATTAATCATGAGATTTAAAATATGAAGACTGTAGACGGAGGCATAAAATCTAAGTTTCCTTACTTGCAGCCACTCTGCCACATCATTTGCCACTTGTACCTGCAAGTTCTTTTTTTAAAAAAATTAGGTATTTGAGGAATCAAAATATACTAAAAATACTCCAAAGTTTACTAGCTCATTTGAATTTGGTCTAAGCCAAACTGTAAGAGACTATTACAATACTGTTATTAGTACTTATTGGAACTAAGTAGATTGCCTTATCTAAGAATGAATTTCTTTTAGGTTCCTCAGACAAGTTTTAAACTCACTTTTTTTTTTAATAGCCCAGAGGACCGATGTTCCCTCCGACTATAACGATGGTCCAATTTCCAAACTGAGGGCCCAGAAACTCAGAATGAAGTATCTTGTCCAAAGTCAAACAATGGAAAGCAACATAAGGAGGCACAACTACAGCCACGCTTTGTCATGGGTCTCTTCAGAAGGGGAACTAATGAATGAAAGGAAGGACACATTCCCCATCTCCTCTATCTGCCAGCAGAAGCTCAACAGTGGATACTGCAACCAATTCTTTAGATAAAGCAAGAAACAAGGTGACAAAAAATAAAACAACGGTGTTCAGGCCCCTTCTATGAGTTAATTAAGTGTAGAATGAGATCTGAAGAAACTAAGATGTCTAAAGGTAATTTAAAACTTAATAGGAAAGGCAAAACAATAAACATGAGTTAAGATGATTTGTACAAGGTATTTAGAAAGAGGGGTCTGAGTAGCCTTTTTTCTTCCCCCAAAAAGAAAGATAAAATAATTCGATATGTTTTACTGCATTCCCATTGGCTCAGCGAGATTTGTGAACAGGAATGTTAATAAGGTAGCTAGCCTTCAGGCACATACTACACTTGCTATAAAAAAAGAACACTATGAAACTAAAGTGAATGCTTAGATATTCTGCCTGTGAAAATGTCCTGTCTGAGTAAGAAGAATGTCAGAGTTGGGGGAGAAGCTGGCACCTCCTGGCCCCCTTTTCCATGTTAACAGGAAGGATAAAGCACAATGCAGGCAATAAGTAATACATGAATTTGGGGTTTTTTGCTCATTTTTGGCGTCTTCATTCTGCTTTGTGATACGCTAAGTAACACACAGAACATGAGATTATAATGATACTTCGATTAAGTACGATAGAAATAAAAACTGATATGGAGAATTACTTTGTCATGAAAAATTCATTTGATGTCATTTGGCAGCCTTCCGCTACCCCTTTCTATCCCCATTTCTTAGCTACCCAATCAGAGCTGACAACTTTCACCATTCTCGTTCAAAGAAACACTTTCTCTGGGCTCTGGAGTATCGAAACACTCCCTGTGAGAGCTTCCCTGCGAAATAGCTG